TATGCATCAAAAGTTTACTTTACGGTGCATGAAGAAAATTGAAAAATACCTGCAAGGCCGCGCCGGCAACCCTCCGGGATAGTTCCCCATCGCTAACCCCTTTTAACATTTCACGCTCAGCGGTCGCACATAGCAGGGTCATATCTGTTGCGGCCTGCTCGCTGTGTTGCAACAGGTTATACCCTCCTAGGATCAAAATTCGGCGGTTGGATCTACCTGCCGTCATCCCCACACAGGCCGAACCCCGCATTAACACATCTGCATCCGCCTGGGCGGCCTCAGGGCCCACCCTCTCGGTATCATCGCCCGCTTCTCCAACGGCAGCCGACGAGCCGCTCTCCGAAATGCGTGTTGGGCTGGCGTCGAGAAGCGCCCCCCTTGGGGAGGCGACCTCCCGGAAAGGATGGCATCTGCCATAAAAACTGGCCTTGACTCCCGACGGGGCTCGCTCGCCCCCTCGTCTTCTGCGGCTATCCCCTTGCCGGTTATCAACCGGCGTCTTTTCCTTTCCGGCGGCTCCTCACTCTCAGAAGTTTCCTTCACATCCCGTGGAGATGGCATTGAAGGAGTCGCTTCCCTCGTGGACGCCTCCACGGGCAGCGGTTGAGGAACCTCCGCAGCGCCATCACTGGGCGAGCCACAGGGTATGTATCCGTCTTCAGAGTCAGTCCCTGCCCCAGGTGAGGTGACGACGTTCTTCTTCTTCTTCTTGTTCTTAGGGGCACACCGACCTGCCAACGCGAATAAGTTAGGTAACAAGAACGTAGGGAACTCCCAAACCGTAGCCAAAGAATTACCTGACGGGCCGTACTGTTGAAGAAATGCAGCCCAGGTACGGCATTCCTCCGCATAAGGTATTATTCTTTCCACCTATGATTTAATGTCATCAGTAAACTGGGGTGGAGAAGCCCTCGCTGCGGATAAAAAAGGGAGAAAAGCAAAGAAATCACAATGGCCGTATGGTCAAAAGCGCAAGCAGTCCTGAATTCTACGAGAAGAAATACTTACGTTCTAGATTCCATCTTTCCGGGAACCCGTCGGGATTTGACACCAGGTGCTCCGTCCTGATGTAGAAATATTTACGCCAAAAGCGGCGGTTGGGCTTATCATCGGCTTTAACAACCAAGCCCCTCATGCCATGACTTTTTAACTGCAGCATGGTACCCCTCAGGTAACCAGGGCTGAATAACTGCAAGAGGTGGTGGACCGAGACGCTGCACTCAGCCTTGGCCACATAAGTGGTCATAATACGGCACACCTTCAAGGTGTAAGGAGTGAGCTGAGCCGGACACACATTGTAAAAACGGCAAAGCTCCTCCGTCAGAGGGTATATTGGAAGATTGTAACCGATCAAGAACGGGTACTCATAGAATGTGCAGTATCCAGGCCGGTGCACATTGGCATAGTCCGTCCCGGCCGGAACCATTTCCATGTGGTCCGGAATATGGTGCGTCTCTCGAAGATTATCTAAGTGGGATTGTAATAAAACGCTGTGCTCCCAGGAAAGGTCTGGGCTTTTAGTTGGAAAATCCCTGCGAACATGCATCTCCTTCGGAAGGACGTTGTCTACACTTAGAGGAACAAGGGCCTTCTCCGCCTTTTCCCCTTCACCACCGAAAGATGGTGGAACCCTAGACGGGGCATTATCTTTAGCCTTTTTACTACTCTGTCCATATTTTGTCATGATTATACTACGTAAGAAACGAAGCACTGACGATAGGAAGTGTGGTTTCAGCAGAAGTGGGAGAGTCCCTCACGAAATAACGGTTACAGGAAAGGAAGACAAAGGAGTAAATCGGAAAATGCTTTCCGAAGGCTTGAAAGTTGAATCGAATCGAACCTCTATCCTACTTATAGGGATAAGTTGCGCAGAAATCGAAGAGTCATGATTCAAAACGTGCGCGGGAAACCAAAATGTCACATCATCCTCTGAACCGCCTCGGGGGAAAATATAATAATGACGCATACAGGCGATGACGTCATTCCAAAAAGGAAGCCACGCGTCAGTGGCTCTACAACGTCATTATTTCACCTCATTCATATTGCCGCCCCTGGTCGAGGTCAAATTCTCCTAAGCCGAGGTTCGCATTTCCGCCCATCGAAGACGCCCACCCAATGCGTCTCCAACGAGCGTAGGGACTAACTGTATGGGGTCAAATTTGATCGTCAGCATCCCTATGCCAGAGGGTATGCCCAATGAGTGTACGCCGACTAACGTAGCGGGTACGACTCGGACGCGGGGACAAAAGCGACATCGTTTAGGACTCGGTATCTTCACTAGGGAGACGTTACTTGTCTTTGTAACTTTTTAATTCTTTCGAGGAAGGTCTCTTATTATATAAAGGAGACCTTCACAATGTAAAAAGGGGATTTTGATCTAATACAACTCTCTCATTTTCTGTCTTTCTCTCTCTATCTCTACCTCAAACGAACATATCTTGTTAAGTTCATATTATCACTTTGCAATACTAGATCTACAACAATAATATCATCTTTGCATCTCTAGGTTTATTATATTTGATTACGATTTACCCTTTTCTTACTTTTGATTGTTTTCTAGCTTACAAAGTATATTGCTAACTTTTGAGCCAAACAACCTTCATGCCTCGTATTCTTTCATCTCCTGTATATTCTCCCTTCAGATAATCCCAGATTTCTTTTGCTGATTTGAGAGCCATAACTCTCGTGAAAATTGTTGCAGACACACCAGCAAACAAAGTTGCTTTCGCCTTTGATTTCCTGGTTTTCTTTTCCTTGTGACTCTTGATCTGGGCCACCGTGGGATTGTTAGGCAGCGGAAGAACATCATAATCCTCTTCCACGGCCTGCCAAAGATCTAAAGCCTCCAAGTAAGTCTCCATTCTCACTGCCCACAGTTGGTAATTTTCACCATCAAAGACTGGAGGAGCCAATTGAGAAAAACTCATTTCAGTCTCCATCTCACTCAAGAAAAGATTTTACTTAGGTCCCTTAAGAAGATGACTCTGATACCAATTGTTGGTTTTTGATAAAAGAAATTAAGGGGAATAACTGGGAAGATGACAAGAAAATAAACAAATATACTGGAATAGATGTAAAAGGAACTGAAGCTGAAAATACTATATTATTTTACTGCATTTGGACTACAATTTATAAGAGAAATACTAACTTAAAAGACCTAAAAATCAGCACAAAATATGCTGAAAATAACTAACTTTCCTAGAGACTAGTTCACTCCTTAAGACTAGTTCAAAATTATTTCAAATTCAAACTAAATTACTGCAGTAAATAGCTGAAACAGTAAAATAATTTTATTGAGAGCAGCTTCTAAAGCATATTTCTAAAATTTCTTTTATTGATTGTAAATTCGTTGTTTCAATTATGTTGAAATATGTTGCTATATATGAGAATTTTAAATATAAGTCATACAAAGCGGAATTCTAAATTTTACTAAGCTGGATTAATAATGAATGAAATAAAATAATAATTGTAAATGTTTAATTGAACTGGAAATTTATAGATATATGTAAAAGGAATCTCAATCTGAATCTGAAAATGGGAATGTTTTGATGTAATTCGGGATTTTGCATTAGGTTTTCACGAGCTGGACTGCTAATTTGAGAAACAAAGAATATTTGAAGAAAAGACTCCATGAGTTCTTTGTTTGTAATTACATGCAATTTATAATCTATGTCAGAGAATTAAGAGTTCCTAATGCCTAATGGTTTTCTACAAAGTCTAACTGGAGCATTAGCATTTTTGCACCCATTATTTTATTGATCTTTAAATTCTCTGTCCACACCTATTACTCATGTTAGGCATACTGCTCTCTGACATCAAGCATTTCAACCCGAAAATAGATCAAGCTAATTAGGATGGAGGATGTCAAAGTTGATGAGAGTGTTACACCAAGTACTCAAGTAACTGAAGAGGAACCTGTGGGGCTTGAGGATGATGCTGAGAAGATAATTAAGTTACTGACCCGAGGAATAAGGGAACGGGATATTGTCTCTATTTTTGGCATGCCTGGTCTCGGAAAGACCACTTTGGCAAGAAAAGTATTCAAAGATTCTTCTATTGTTTCTCACTTTGATGTTCGAGCATGGGTAACCATTTCACAATCATATGATGTGAGATAGCTGTTGAGGGACATCTATAAGCAAGTGACGGGTGATAAGTACAATGGAGATAAGGAGAATGACATAGCCGATATGTTGTGCAAGTGTTTAATAGGCAAAAGATATCTCATTATCTTGGATGATGTATGGGAAGTAAAGGCATGGGATGAGTTAAGATTATGTTTACCAATCGGTAAACAAGCAGAATCATGTTAACAACTCGACTTGAACATGTGGCAATGGAAGTCAAAGCACTGTATCCATCATTATTCCCCTCAATTCCTAACCAGGGAAGGGAGCTGGAAATTGTTGGAGGAAAAAGCATTTCAAAAGGAAACTTGCCCTCCTGAATTGCAGGATGTTGTAAAGGACTGCCTCTTACAGTTGTTTTGATTGGTGGAATTCTTGCAAAGAAAGAAAGGATTGTCGCGGAGTGGTGTGAAGTTTCAAAAAATTTGAAGTCTCATCTTGGGGCAGTTGAAAGTGAGAGCAATTTGGCAATACAGTTAAGTTACAGCTACTTACCGGATCATTTGAGACACTGCCTTCTGACTATGGGAGTATTTAGGGAGGATGAAAAAATTGGAGCATCTAAATTGATGTCACTCTGGATGGCCGAAGGCATCGTTCAATGTAGTGATGAGAGAGGATTGGAGGAGGTAGCTGAAGGTTACTTGATCGATATAATTTCTAGTAGCCTACTAATGGTTTCAAAGACGACTTTTGATGGCAAGGTGAAGTACTTGCAAATTCATGATCTAGTGCGTGATTTTGTCTTAAACAAAGCTAAAGAAGAAAAGTTCATGCAAGTTATAGGGACACATAACCAATATCAACCTTCATATGATGAGGAACATCGAGTATGCATTCACCTCGACCATAAGCTTCGTCATGAATTGCAGAGATTCAACAACAAAGTAGATAGATTCCTCACAAGCGGCTCCAAAAAAGGAACATCTTTTGGACAAGATCTTAAATCGCTCTTTGTTACTAATAACGTAGATGATTTTCTTGCTTATAGAGATTTTTGGAATAATGAATCTAGTTTTCACGGTACTGTTCCTAAAGAGTATTTATCTCGTTCGTATCATTTCTCATCAGTTGGAGACTTTAGACTTCTTAGAGTGTTGGATTTCAGGAACTGCATTCCAGGGGATTATACGAATATAGAAGATATACTGCAATCACTAGTTTACCTGAGATACCTCGGAATGTGTTTCGAAAAGTTTTTTTCCGAGTGGGTATCACACATGTGCGACCTGGAAACTTTACTGGTGGATACTGAGAGAATAGTAGATGCGACACCTCATATTTGGAAGATGACGAAACTAAAGCATGTAGACCTATTAACATTTTTACCTCGTGAGATATTTGCAGTTTCTGAAGAAGGTCCGTCTAAGATGGAGAATTTGAGGGCCTTTAAAGGCATGTGTTTACTTCGTGATGATATAGAGTTAATTGAGAGGTTTCCCAATCTTCAAAAGCTTCTCCTCATGATAGCTGATAATGATATCGATGAAGCTAACTCTCTCGTTCTAAAATTGGATGTTCTTACACAGCTTCAATCCCTCGTGCTTGGTTCGATGTGTAATATCACCAAGTATTATTTACCTTCAAGTCTCAAAGAGCTGATCCTCCGCTAAGTTAATATACTAGCAAGTGCAACTTCCACAATCGCTGGGTTACCCAACCTTCAAAGACTGTTATTTCAAGGGTGTATATTCGAGCAAGAGGAGTGGGACGTGAGAGATATGGAGTTCCCAGTACTCAAAATCTTAAAATTTCGAGGAGTTCAGCTTAGGGTATGGCATGTCTCAGAATCATCATCATTTCCCATGCTTGAGAGTTTAGTGCTAAGATCTGTTGAATTGCTTGAGAAGATTCCTGAAAGTTTTGTGGAAATTGGAACACTTACATCAATCAAGGTGATCGATTGTGATGATAATCTCAAGGCTTCAGCTTTGGAGATTGAGGAAGAAGTAGAAGCAACTACAGGATGTGAGAACCTCAAGGTCTATATTTTTCCACATTACTCTCGGTATGTCTTTCTTTTCACCCTTAATTTTTTTCTTGATAAACTAACTCAATTTAAGAGTTTAATTCATTATGTTATTGTTGTTATAACTGCAGAGTAGGTTTATATCTTATGTATGTTACATTAATCCTAACACATAGTTATTGTTGTTAAAAAAAGGGAACAAAAAGAAACAGAAGAGGAATATGAAGAGGAAGAGAAAGAGGAAGAAGAAGAAGAAGAAGAAGCGGCAGAAGTAGAAGCAGAAGGTAGAAAAAGAAGCAGCACCAGCAAAAGTAGAAGCAGAGGAGGAGGAAGATGACAAAGTATCAGTATCATCATTTAAGACTTTCAATCTTGGTTATATACTTTTCCTTTTTCTCCTCTTATTCTTTTGGTCGCATAAAATTAAGAAATAGTCCACATAACTTACTTATAAGACATCTAGAAATTATAAAAGCTGTCTGGACATTTTCACCATTCATGTTATTCTCTGTAAAGCCCTGTAAGTTTTTGGACAACATGTCTAGCTAATTTTGTTACGTGATTACAGTGACACCAAGTATATTCGGTGCCACACGAGGTGGATATCATCTTGGAATATGTGAACGTATTTACGGGCAGAGGCGGATCTAAAGTTTGATGACTACAATTGCCACCATATTAATGCAAACTTACCAATAGCAAAGTAGATTGACAGGGTGCATTAGTCGGTTCGATCCGTTTTGAATTAATTTGCTTCCGGTCAGTTCAATCTATTTTAAATTAATTTAATTTGATATACTAGATTTTTGGTGCATAAATAAATAGGTGATCATCCAGTTGAATAAGTTTTGTCTAATGTGATCTAATTTTATCGGTTCAAATCCTGAATAATATAATTAAAAACGTAAAAAGAATAAAAATTTAAAATAAACAAATACATCACTTCAATCTACATATAGCTATATTAGTATTATATTTGTTGATACTATCATTCTAAAAAAATTGAAAATTAAGGGAAGCAAATGATTAAAATCATGTTCAAATAAATATCTAGAAAAACAAAAAGGGAAGCAAATATATAATTCATTAAACAATAAAAATGTCTACAGAGAGAGAGGGAATGCAAAGATAAAGATTGAAGAATTGAAAAGACTGGGCTCGATCCAGCGTCTTGCGGACGGCAAAACCATCCTATAGCCATGGCACCTAGAGCGAATTTATAACTCCGGTTGCCACCTTCAAAATATATCACTTTAGTGGTGTAAACTATCCATACATATATTAAATTTTACGGGATTAGTTGATTATTGAGCAAAATTCATTTATAGACACTCGGGCCAAACTTATAACACCCGGTAGCCACAAAATGACCTTATACAAGTCATAGCCTAAAAACAATGGAATTTATCTAGTTTGATGACTTTTCCTCTCACCGCAAGTTACCTTTCTCTGGAATTCCTATAATGAAATTTGCCTTATGGATGAGGTTAGCATCTAACTTTGTTTCTTCTCTGTATGGATTAGCATACTCCACTTAAGTAGTTTTTGGCCATTGTTTAACTCTAAAATGCAAAACCATTTTTTGCACAATGTTTTTCAAGATTATTCTTTCTTGGATGTAACTTGAATTTCACACAAATGCCACAACCATACAATGCAATAACTCTTAACTGCATGCAAAAGCCAGCAATATGAAGGCAAATAGTTTTATTTCCTTGTTATTAAATTCAGTTAACCTTGAAAGTGTACATCAACCAAAAATTATACATTGTCAGACGACTAAAAAAATAACTATCATATCTCACTAAGAAAATTCTCCCATAATAATATGTTAATTGATCACATGTTTGACAATTTTTTTTACTTTTACTAAACATATATTTAATTATCAAAAACTTAACAAAGTAAGATTGAAATCATATTTATGTAATAAAAAAATTCGAAAAACCCGACAAAACCGAACCAATCCAAACCGATATAGTTGGTTTGGTTTGGTTGTGATAAAAACCGAACCAACCCGGTCCATGTACACCCCTAGGCAGAATTGTCTATTGGAAAAGTCAAGGGAAAACTATGTAGAAATGAGAGAAAATACATATACTTTGAAAGAGTCAAATAAGTTTTACAAGGTCAAGTAAACCCAGTATTTTTGCTGTTAATTTCTTTTTAATGTATTGATCAAAAACTAAAAGGAGGAAATCAATGAGGTTTATTATTCAAAAACAAGAAAGGAGAGGTTCTTATTCTATTTGCATTGATGTTATGAATTTTATATTCCTTGTTAAAATAATAATTAACGCTGTTTAATTAATTAAGTTGTCGCCGTGTAGAAAGTAGGTAGAATTTATACTATAAAAATAACCTCTTAACAAGATAAGAATACGCATAATATATCCAATTTGATCTGCCCTTTTTAAAATTCCGCACAATGAAAAATTTAGTGCACCACACTTTCTTTTTATATAGTTTTTCTATGAATATGTGCATGACTTTCTAAGTTCTAACTAGGGGTACATAGGTCGGGTTGGTTCGAGTTTTGTAATTACCAAACCAAATCAATTGTGTCAGATTATCAAATTTAAAGACCATAAAACTCGGGTTTTGCAATCTCGATTTTTCTCGGGTTTTCGGGTTATTCGAATTTTTTCAGTTTTTTTTTTCCGGTAAAATCTTCGTAGCACAAAACATATAAATTGTGCTCAAAATATTTCTTTAATCCTAGTAAGATACAACTATATAAGGTATTTTTCAAGAAAATAATACAAAATAAGGTGCTTCATGGCATTATCCTAAAATATTCAACAATAAAGACAATAAAATTCAACAATAAAGACAATAAAATTATATAATATAAGTATTGCTAATTAAAAATCCATAATAAAAATAAACATAATCTAAAAGTACTAAGTCATGCTAATATAAGTGAACTAATAAGGGAGTACTAATTACATGATTAAACGCTAACAAAAATAGGTTTTGCATTTTTTATCTGAATTATTGCAAAATAAAAAATAGATATTTAATACATTGTCGTTCCTAGTATTGAATTGAATATCTTTTGTTTGCATTAGTATTGATTTAATTTTGGTTTGGGCTTTTGTAATTAGCATTATTTAAGTTACTAATATTAATGACTATAAAATTATTGGAACATTCAAAATTTCTAAGTCCAACCTTGAAATAATAATACCTTAAAAGATAAAATTATGAAAAAGTTTAAGAAATATTTATAAATTATATCACAATAAGTATATTTATATATTAAATATATCTAAAATTTCTATATATGTAATGTCGGGTTGGTTTGCTTTCGGTTTGACTTTCTTTAGTTAAACCCAAACCAAACCAATCATGGTCGGATTTTTTTTCCAACACCAAACCAAATCAAACGAAATCATAGTCGGGTTTTTTTTCTCGGTTTGACTCGAATTATCGGGTTGGTGTAGTTTGTCGGTTTCCTTTGTACACCCCTAGTTCTAACCATGAGTAGGCTAGATAAGATAGTACTTGTACTATTGCACGGTATTGCTTTTGATTACGTACTTATCTTGAAGTGAAAAATGGCTTAAATCTTAAATAACCCTATATTAAAAAAATTAAAATTGTGTCAACAATATAGAAGACTATTCCCAGGTAATAAAAACATAAGGATGAAACTGCATGTCCATAATTTAGCTTAAAAAAAATAGAACTTCGTTTAAAGATCATTTAGAGAATACAACACTGCACTGTAACATTTATATGCTTGAATAAAGAAAATAATAATTTTAAGACCTTAACTGTGAATGAAAAGAAGACATTAAAGAAACAGGTCCTATGTTCAATTTCTTACAATATTTTGTGGTCTAGATTCACTAATTTCCTTCATATAATTTTCTCTAGATTTTAGAGGAAACTACAGAATAATTATAATACAAAATAGTGGTACTAACTTTTCAAATCTTGTGCTCTGAGTGGTCCATAGTTGTATGATTTAATAGAAGTCTACAAGGCAGTGTCATTTTCACTTTCTGGAATAGTCAAAGTCTCAATTTCAGTGCCACTCCAAATCCCACCTACTTCTTCTATAAATAATTACCCTTCTCAACAAAACAAATTAAACTAAACTTCTCCAACCCTCATTATCCATCACCTAAAATGGAGAATTCTTGGGTTTTTCTAGCCTTGGCAGGGCTATCTGCATTAGCTTTTCTCTGTAAAATAATCACCTCTCGACGCCCCGTTAACAGGAAACTACCACCCGGTCCAAAACCATGGCCCATCATTGGCAAATTGAACCTACTTGGTCCTATCCCACATCAATCTTTTGACTTGCTTTCCAAAAAATATGGAGAGTTGATGTCACGACCCGGATTTCCCACCATCGGAAGTCGTGATGGCGCCTACTGTTGGAGCTAGGCAAGCCAAACATTTAAGCATTTCGGATAACAACACAACAATAATAAAATAACGAGTCTTTAAATAAATGCGGAAGTCTTTTAAAACATAAATAACTGAAAACCCCAAATGCGGAAGCTTAACTTTTCTCTACCCAAGACTGGTATCGCTATCTCACGAACTACTAAAGAGTGCTACAAATAAGTCCGAATAGAAATACATGAATGTCTGTCATCGGTACAATGAAAACAAACTGAAAACATAGAA